GCCATGGAAGTGACGAGCGGGGCCCGCCGTCCCAAATTGAGAAGAAAAGTAAGGGGCCAGGTAGCCGTAGCCCGTTAAGGCTTGGGTTAACCTGGCTTCGACGTCGCGTTCATAGTATTTAGAAGTGAAAACAGGGTGTAGCGTCTGGGAAGGCAGGGACGGCCACAAGGACCGTATTGCAGGGGGTCGATCGGTGTAACGGAATTCGGTTTGCCAGGAGGTGGTCGCTCGCTCGCGCGCCCAGCGCCGGATCCACATCAGGGTGGGTAGGACACTATCGGGTAGGGACGTGCCTTCCTTGGCTAGCCGGTCCGCCACCTCGTTACCCAGTACACCCGTATGCCCAGGAACCCATAGCAAAGAAATGTTCAGAAGTGGGTATTGCTCCATAAGAGGAGCGAGAAGTGCCCGAAAGCGAATAGAAAAGGGCTGGCCACTGTGTGGTCGCAGCGACAGGACATTGGACAGGGCAGCGCGGTTGTCCGCGCAGAGGTAAATGTGAGTGATCATGGGGTAGGTCGCCAGAAAACCGGCAAAGCGGCTGGCGACCGCTGCCATTGCGAAGAGCTCTGCGTCGTACACCTCAGCCTGGTGGCCCATGCCCCAAGCCCGCTCGTACTTTATCGCACCCTGGTGAATGATACATGCACCTGCACCTGCTCGTCGGTTCCGCGGGGCGAGGTCGGGCTGGGCGATTTGGGAGCCGTCTGTGAAGACCCATAGGGCATCAGGGAGGGGGATGGAAGAGTGCAGAAGAGGGAAGAAAAAGGATCGTAAGTACTCTTTGGAACCGTCTTTGGTAGGCGGGGGGACGCAGACGCGAACCCGCTCACCCCACGGATGCGCAGGATCCCAGGGCGGCTGCAACCAGGGGAGCAGGCGCGCCGCCCGCGTGGGCAGGGTTTGCTCGAGCACATCCACTGCACTGGTGCCGTGGTGGATAGGGATGGCGGGGTTAAGGAGGGAGAAGTTGGGCGAGTGGGCAGTGCGGTTGGCTGCCAGGCAGTGGGTCACCGGATGGGACGCGGAGAGGGTGAGGAGGCGAGCTGCGGCAAGGCCGTTGAGCTTGTCGAGCTGGTGTCGCATTGGCAGGACGCTGGATATAAGGTTGAGGACGTGGTGGGGGGTAGACCGCCATGCTCCCATGAACCACCGCAGAGCGTTGTTTTGTACCTGTTGCAAAGGCTGAAAGAGTGAGCATGGGCCCCGCGGGTTATACCACACGGGGCTACCAAAGGTGATACGGGAAGGATGGTGGTAAGGTATAGTAAGCGAGCTTGCGCGACCGTCATGCCTCGCTGTGTGTTGGCGAGCATGCGGAACGCAGCTACGCGGGACGAAGCCCTGGCCGCCATGACACGAATGTGGTGGGTGAAGGTTAGGCGTCTGTCGTACCAGATACCGAGCCATCTCAGATATGAAGCGGGCTGTATGGTGACATCCCTTCCGTCCCACTGAATCTGCAGGGGAGGGTTGATGTCAAGGGAGCGTCTCGGGGAGGTAAAATGGATAAGCTCTGTTTTCGCCATGCCAATGGTCAGCCCAAGCTGGCGAAGCGTGGCGCCCACACTCGGCAGAGTGCGCTGGATGATGGTCGTGTTCTCGTTCAGCGAGGGAGAAACGATGAGGAGGGAAAAATCGTCGACGTAGCCCGCCGTGGACTGCTGGGGATGCGCGAATGGATCAAGATTCGCATACAGCGGGGAAGAGTAGATGGTAGAGAGGACTGGCGACAGAGGCGATCCCTGTGGGATGCCGAGCGCAGCGACGTGGTATGACGGACCCAGCTCTGAATTGAGTTTGGGCCGCACAGTGCGCGAAGAAAGGAAGGACATGGTCCAAAGGACCTCATTCATGGGAAAGCCCATAGAAAGGAGAGCAGAATGAAGGACGTCGTGGCGAATGTTATTGTAATAGCCCTCGACATCCATGCACAGTAAGGTAGCAGAGAAACCGTTTTCCCAGGCGGTGCGTACACGGTGCATCAGAGTGACTCCGGCATCCACGACGGAATGCTGGCCCCGCCCACCAAACTGTGAGCCGGGCACAAGATTGTGAGCACCGATCTGGAAGTTGAAACGAGCAGCAACCACTTTCTCGAGGACCTTGCTTAAGGTTTCCAGGAGAGCAATTGGTCGGTGGGACTTGGGTGCGGTGTAATCCGCCTTGCCCGGCTTGGGCAAGTACACAACCGCCGTAGCCCGAAGTGGGGCGGGGAGGTAACCCAGGCGCAAAGAAGAGAAAAGAAAATGGAAAAGAGCATGATGCGCACCAGACCGCCAGACCCATTTAAGGAGCCGCCACGACACTCCGGAGATGCCAGGTGCTGAATAGTTAGACGCAGCCTCGATGGCGGCAGTGACTTCAGTGACAAGGAGAGGACGGTCTGGGTGCGCTGCCGGAGGCGCAGAGGTAAAAAGAGGAGGCAGATCAGGCAAGGGCGGAGACGCCGGAAAATAGAAACGTGTGAGTAGACGACCCGCGTCGGCAGGGAGAGAGCCAGTCTCCCCGTCCGCGCGGATGACGGGCAGCGGTGGCGCCCGCACTCCTTTGGTCCAGGAGGTGAGTCGCCAGGGGTCGGTGTGCTGGAGTCACGCGACTGCCTCCCGGGTCCAATCCTTCCGAGCTTGTCGGATGGTGGTCGAGAGGGCGGCTTTGGCTGCTCGCCTTTCCTCACGAGTAGGCGCCACCTGGACATTTGCGCGGGCAGTGTCGCACGCATCGTTCCACCAGAGCTGGGAGGCCCGAGGAGCATGTGTGCGTCGGGGGAACACTTCGTGGCAGGCCACGGACATTGCTCGCAGCAGAGCCTGAGCGCCCGCGTCGAGGTCGTCATTGGTGGTATAGTTGGCCGGCGGTGGGGACAGCGCCAGCTCGCGGGCAAGGCACGTGTTCCAGTCGTCTCGTTTGGACACATCGACTCAAAAGCCAAGGTCAGCATCTATAGGGTGAGCAACGTGAGAGAGAGTAGAGGTTAGTAGAGCGTGATCAGATTCAAAGGATGTGGGAGTAGCAGCGACTCCGTGAACGTGAAACTGCGCACTGGAGGTCACGCAGACCAGATCGATGATGGTGCCTGAGAGCAGGTCTCCATTCACCATGTGGGTGGGTTGATCGAGGTCATTAAGGATTTCGAGCGACTCGCGCTCTAGCCACCCTGCGAAGGCGGTGGAGGCAGTGGAAGCAGAGCGGGAGGCCCGTCCGGTCCACGACCATAGGGGGTGGTGGAGATTAAAATCTCCGGTGACAAGGAGGTTCGCTCGTGGCAGGAAAGGGATGTCATAGAGAGTGGGCAGGACGCGGTGTTGGGCTCGCGAGCCTTCGTTATAGCAATTGACCACGAAGAAAGTATGGGTGGGATCAGAGCGGGAAACGAAATGAAGAACGACTACATCTGGGTCCGACACCAGGTCGGTACGCATGGATATATGGTAAGTGTTTAAGAGTACGCGTCGGACCAGGATACTGGCTCGAGGTCGCAGCAGCGCAGAGGTTGAGGGGAAATGAAAAGTGTCCAGGCCATAGGGCCGGACATTGACGTGACCAAAAACAACAGTGCCTGACTCAGAGCCATGGGGGGTATCAATGCCAATTTGCCCCCACCACGGTTCTTGAAGGAAATAGATATCGTAGGAAGTGGAAGAAACGAAACCGTGAACGCGCGGATTAGACCGGGCCACATTCAGATGCGCAATTGTGATATTCATGATGAGGGGTTGGTGCGCGAGATGGGGATGCGGTAATCTTTCCGCGCGGGGCAGGTGGTGTCAGCGGCATTGTGACCGTTGGTGCCACAGACCACGCAGAAATAGTGAGCAGACTCGCAAGGCTGATCGGCCAGGTGAGCCTCATGATTGCAGACAAGGCAGGCCTGCCGATGCATATCGGACGTGTGAGTAGTCTTTCCACAGAAGCGGCACACCTGTGCCCGCTTCTTGCAGTGACTTTCGAGATGTGTGAGGCGCCAGCAACGAGTGCACTGACGGAATACGGGACGATCTTTCGACTTCTTAACCATTAGGCGCGAACCATAAAACCATATAAAGCCAGCGGCGTCACCGTGGTTGTCACGCCCGAGGAGGTTGCGCGCGCAGAAGTCGCGGTGCATATCCTCAATAGAAACGATAAGGGAGGATTTCCCGAGCTGCTCGCAGTGCTCAGGGGGAACGACAAATCCGGGAAGACCATTGAAGTGAATGGAGGAAAACATGGAGTTGCGGCGGAGCTCCGCCAGAATCTCCTCCTCGGTGAGCATGTCTCCCGAGTCAGGGTGACGGAGCGGGCAGCTCGGAATGAAAAGTTTAGTCACCGGAGCAAGAGGGCGGAAGTCTTGTGGGACAGATGCCTGCTCTCGAGGGCCCGGTGCAGGGGACGGTGCACGTGGGACCACGCCCAGCAGATGACGGATGGGCCGGAGACACTCCTTGATGAGCGCATCCGGGGAATCATGCGAGAACGCCGCTTGGACCTTGGTTGGTCCAGCGAAACGAAGACCGAGAAAACGTACCTTCGCCCACGCGGGGGTCTCGCGCAGGCGTGTATGGACCTTGGCATACCATTGGGGCATGGTACCCCCTGCTTCGATGGCGGCATGCTGCTCGGGAGTAATGAGAAGGACGTAGCACTTTTCGCGGTTCCTGGCAGCCACCTGTGCCATAGATTGGGCATTCGGGGCCTGTGTCGCAGGCTGCGTGGTAGGCTGCGCTGCATGGGCAGCAGCATTGGAGTCGGCGGCGGGGGCACGTTGTCGACCAGTACGGACTGGCGGTTGGGGTCACGGTCCCTCGGGGGCCTGAGGAGGCTGTGGCAGCGGACGCCCACGTACGAGCTGGGCCTCGATAGCCGACAGTCGCGTGTTGATGGCTGACGTGGCCATACGGACGCCGTCCTCGACAGCCTTAGTCAGGGCAGCCTGCACGTCGATGCCGACAGGGAGGGCGCCTTCCGTGCGCGGGCGGGTGTGCGGAACCTCGTCCATGAGTGCGTCGTCGTCGAGAAGGATGGCTGCTTCGCTAAGCCGTTGATGGAAGAGACCTTGGTAGAGGTTTAGGACCCGGACACCAGCCTCTGTGTCGACGATGAGGGGGTCGCGCACGAGAGCGTCGTGGAAGTCGCGAAGGCAGGTAGAGAGCGCGACAGCGCAGTTTTCGAATTCGTCGGAGTATGATGCGGCCTCGTAGGGGCCTTCGATAACGCGCTGCACGCCGGTAGCAAGGTTGTTCAGATTATTGCGCAGAGATCTAATGATGTCGCACATATGATTGTGGACCGGCGGGTGCGGGGGCGCCGGCCCTGGGGCTGACGTCGTCGTGCTCGCTGGCAGTGGAGACCCTCCCGGGGGAGTACGCTCGACACCTATGCCCTCCATGGTCGATTCGCTGGCGGTCGCTTGTTGGGCGCCTATAGCGGACATGGTGGTACGGGAAAAAGAAGAGTAGTGATATGTTTCCAAGCCTACACACGAGCACCATCAATGGCATTTCCGCGACAACACACTCATTATCAACAGGAGGCACGCCTCGGCCACAATTGACTACACCAACAAATGCATGTCTCATGCCATCTGTCAATTGCAGACATCCATGCAACAAAGGAAATTGACGCAACAGATAATGATCGACAACAGTGCGACTATCCGGCCTCACCACATGCAACTCATCATGTATCAAGTCGAACACTGCAATGAACGATGGACATACCAGAGAGCACCGATGCTCACATAACATAGACTGTAAGCCCACGACAGTGCATTTCTGCAAATCACAGTGGATGTGGTGCAATCGAGCAGCATCCTTCAGGGATTGATATAGAAACTGACTAGCAACAAAGGACAACAGAACATCGACAGCAACAGATTGAACATTTGTCACCCAAGATGAGTCGAACATATTGGTCAGCCACAGACCCCTGAATAACACTGACGTGTGGAGTGATAGAAGATAGGAGGAGCCAAGTAGCACCGAAAAGCCCACTCACATTGGAGGTCAGACAAACACAGGACCTGCGAGCAGCACCCCCCACTGAAGGGGTTCAAATACCATCAGAGTGATGTGACCGCACAAGCTCTGCAACATCAGTCATCGATGCTGACATTGATTGATCAACACGAAACAACTGGAGGAATGCAATACAGCGTATGAGAAGCAAAACAGCTATATGTAGACTGAAATCAGCATCACAATGACAGTGATGCTATAATGTAGCACGAACTGTAAAAAGCGATGTGAAGCGCAATGGATACACTGGTAGACATCACCACCGAGAACACAGTCATCGTGGATGCCAACAGAGGAGTGCAGACGGGAGACGTAGCCACAGCACAATTTACGTAAGTATACTTTCTGTAAAAGGATCTTGATGCAGCTTAGGGCTTATATAAGCACCTGCGATTCCACAACTCCAATAGCCAAATTTGTTATTTGGAACTGCCGTCCACAACCTCCACGACAGGTCTACTTCAAAAGGCTACAACATGCAGCTATCTTTCCATGATTGCAGTACCTCGAGCTTTCTAGTCATCGACCATTTGGTGTTGACTTTCCTGGCCAGCCCGCTGTGTGGCCAGGAGTTCGGGAGTCACCTGCTCTCTAGAAGATGGCTCCACAGGGCCAAACTGATGGCCCGTCCCATTGTAGCCATGCTCTATTATATACACGCATGCTACTACTCTCCCACACCAGTGGCGCAGGTCACACTGGGGCCTCTCACATCCATGCTCTGCATCCAGATTTCAACACGCCCCCTCGACCTAGCCACTGCTGTGTCTATCCCATTGTGAGCCACATGCCTGTACCGCACTTCCTGTTCCCAGGGATGCCAGTCTCCATTCCATGTGCTTCCCTGCCCACCTCAGTCCGTATACCAGTCCCGGCGCCCCCTGATCTTGGGTTCCGGTCTCCGTACCATATGCATCCCGTATGTGCCCATTTTCGGTGACTTTCTATAGCACGCCCACGCACTCGTCGCTCGCTCAGTCTGCACGCCAGTCCTGATGCCTCTTGGATTCAGGTCTTGGTCTCTGTTTTGTGCGCGCTCCATGCAAGCGCCTCACTGGGCTTTTCTTCAGCGCTCCATGTGCTGTGGCTGTGCCGCTTTGTCAGACTGCCAGCCTGTCTCACTCGGCATCTGCTCAGGCCACCCTTTGACGCCCTGCTCTGCCCATTGCCTCACTGGTAGGCCCGCCCTTGTGCAGTGCCTCCCCCTGCACCTGGTGTCTTGCGTTGGAAGGAGAGTGCACACAGCACTCAGGTACACTCTTGTCGCAAGCGGAAAGAAGTGACCAGTCAGACGGTTGGAGTGACATGCCCTAGCAATGAGTGTGTGTCGTACGATAGGGTCCGACTGTGGCATTAGTCAATAAATAACGGACTGAGAAGATGTACATACCTTGGTAGTTTACTATGTCTAAATGACTCTAACGAGGTCCTGTCACAAAGCACCAAAGCACTTAACCCAATTAAGGGCAAGTCTGCTTTTGTGACCTGCACAAATGATCCCACATAAAAAGCCTGCCACAAGGGCTAGGCTGAGGACGCGCGCAGTGGTATGTAGTCTGGAAATGGGGCTCAAAGGGCCCTTAGTCTTATGCTCACAACTAGGGGGTGAATTGGCTTGTTAGGCCGCATGCAATAGAATAATGAATCTAAGGTTCTCCCTTAGATCCTCATGGGCTTATATACATGTAGGGATGGACCTTGGTCACTCTAACTAAGGTGTACCTACTGGGGTCCTGTCCTTTCTACATGTGAACATATTGCCAAAACCAGTAATGGTTCTGGACTTTGCTATGGCAACTATCTATAAAGGCCGTGGATATGCCAAGGTAATCCTACTTTACCCAATGAGATAATTGCCTGAAGGTGGTGCCACTATTTGAGTGACTGAAGTGGTGCCACTTATTGAGTGGCCAATGGGGGTTCTGCCATAGCGCATATTCTAATGCTGGTGCTACTATTTGGCAGCCATGTAGTTGTTGCTGCTATTAAGCAGCGAATTGGGTGCTTGCTAGCTTGATGGTCCAATGAGCACAGGTAAGCCTATTGTGGGCCAAAGAGTTCCATTCTGGGCAAGTGGCCTGGTGTCACGTGACCAACGCCTGATAACTTCTGAATAGCGCAAGTGGCCAGTGTCACATGACTGGGTGGCTGAATCATGGGCGCTTGGTGGTCATGTGGTAGACACAGTCATATCCGTGATGTATGTGGTGGTATTGTGCTGTTTGTCTAAGCATCCACTTTGTAAGACCAATATGAATGTTGACGTCCCAATAACCACTTGTGGTTGCTGAATGATGACTTTATTGGTGCAAAAAGAAAGGTGCCACTTAATACTGTGACAGGTCCCTGGACAACGGACTCGTCTTTGCTGTGCTTAGACCGGGAAACTCCTAGATAAACTACCCCCATACCTTATTCTTTGGCCTCTGCTGCATCTGCTCGCATTCTCCCTGTGCAACTGGCATCAACCTGACATGTCTGAGACAACCGAAACCACGAAGTTCCCTCTCTTGGGTGAGGGCAACTATGGCGAGTGGGCAATCCAGATGGAAGTGGAGCTGAACAGGAAGGAGCTGTGAGAGGTGATGACGATTGAAACATTGCCACCGATGGATGCGACGGAGATGGAGGCAGCAGTGTGGCTGGAGGCAAAAAAGGCCAAGCACTTGACGACCAAGATGGCGAAAGCATGGGCGGAAATGGTGCTGTGGGTATTGGCAGGGCAGCTGGTGCACTTGGTGAGTCGTGACCCTATGGAGTGCTGGGCGATTCTGGTGCAGGTGCACTGAGCGTACAGGTTTGCGACCCGACTAGTGATGCAGTGATGCTTCTACAGGGCGGTGAAGGGCCCCGACGAGGCGATGTCAGCGTGGATTGGGTGGGTGAAGAAAATGGCTGCAGATCTGGAATACGCCGGGGTAAAAGTAGAAAAAGAGGACATGGTGTTGGGACTCACCATGGGCCTTGTAGAACACTATGACCAGCTCGTAGTCGCACTCGACTCGATCCCACCCGAACAGCTCACTGTCGCAAATGTTACAGCGAGACTTCTGAATGAGGAGACCCACCAAAAGGATACGGAGGATGACCAGGATGTGGTGGCCATGATGGCTAAGGCTGGGAAAGGGAAGTGGAAGGCAGCTGCAGGGGGCGAGAAGCATAAGTGCTTCAAGTGCAGAGGAATAGGGCACGTATGGAAGGACTGCCCGACCAAGTCCGATGATGGCAAGGACAACTCAGATGATGAGGAAGGGAAGCCGGACGACAAGGGTGCGAAGGCCAAGGTGGCGTATACTGACGGCCATATTTGCCTATTCTGATGGCTTGATGACGGTGATCGGGGGGCGTGTTAGAAGGAGAGTGCGCACAGCACTCAGGTATGCTCTTGTCGCAAGCGGGGAGAAGTGGCCGGTCAGATGGTCGGAGCGGCGTGCCCTAGCAACGCGTGCACATCATATGATAGGGTCCAACCTTCCTCTTCCAGCAACCACCATGTCTGCTTTAGGTGCCCAACCAGTGACCACCAGCGATGTTGACATGGAGGCCTCCAGCGTTGAGCCTATTGCTCCACTGCAAAGTAATGCTACCGTACCCCCCACACCGACTGCCCCACCCACCTGGGCCTCACAAGTTGAGGAACAAGACACGACAATGGTGCGATTCGTTGGCCTCTTGCGCCACGTCACCAACAACATCAAGTCATTGGATGGCACTATTCAGCTCATCGTCCGAGACACCAACCCTACCACCTTTATCGACGACTTCGCCCAGGTCGTCAGCCTTCTCACTACCACCTGCCACGAGCTCCACACTGAGCTCATGTCCGATCGAGTTCTTTTCACTTCTGGCCCAGGCGTTGAGGCCATAAAAATCTTTGAACATTTCTTTACAGACATGGCCCCCTTCCAGTTTCACGATTATGATGAGGAGCTGCCCGAGCTGCCCATCCCACCCAGCTCTCATCGGTGCCTCGACACCAGCCTCCCTGTGAGCATCGACCTTCAGGCTGCAGTTGTCAAGGCCGTGGAGGACGGCGTCCGCATGGCCAACATGACCATCACCACGAGGCTTACGGCTATCAAGGCACAACTTGCTCACAGCCAGCCACCCCCGCCGCCACCACCCCTAAAGCCGAATAGCCCACAGCAACCATCCGCCGTGCCTGCTGGCTGCAAACGCACAGAAAGCCCCAATGTGGCGGCCATGGCCAAACCTACTGTGCAGGCACTGGCCGGTCCCACCATGGCCCAAGTGGCTGCCAAACCTCGCGAGAAGAGCTACGTGCTCCTCCTCACCCCCACGCAGCACACCTCCATCGAGAAAGGTGGATCCATGCCCCAATGGTATGCCAAAATCAATACCTGCCTGCACGAAATGCCAGCGTGGACAAAGGTAAATTTCCTCAGGCTCCATTTCACTGGACCTATCAAGGTCATGGTGGTGTTCTCGAATGATTCCTCGGATGCTCTCATCTGCGAATGTCTATGCCCTATCAGGCATTTGCTTGGTGTTGTACCCCATGCATCCTCACCAGTGCCAGGCCCACGCGAGCTGGCCATCATGCCACAGGACTTCCGTCTGCTTGCTCCAGTTATGAAATTGTTCATCCTGAGCTGCCCTCTTCGCCACTCAGACACGGGTGTTATGCTCACTGAGGAGAAGATTCTTGCGGAGCTTCGTCGCAACTCCATGTTCTCCACTGTGCATTTCAATGGACTACCAGCATTCACCATTCCCTCTGAGCAGCAAGAGCAGCTGGAGAAACCGTCCATCATTGTGTCTGTTGAGGACACCCACCGCAATTTCTGCACGCGAAACCTTCTTGGTCACGATAACCGTGGCGATGCAGCTGGCTTCATATGGTTTTATGGTTCCTGCATGACTGTAAAGAAGTCAAAAGACAGACCCATCTTCTGTCAGTGCACACACTGCTGGTGCCTCACCCACCTTGAAAGTCACTGCAAAAAGTGCACCCCCGTGTGCTGCTTCTGTGGTAAAACCAATCACACAGCTGACAAGCACCATCAGGCATGTCTGATGTGCAACCATGAGAACCATCCAACGAGGCAGCCCTGTGACCCCACCCACTACTTCTGCATCATCTACGGCACTAACAGCCACAGTGCTGCAGACTCCACATGCCCTGCATGGAAAGACTACTGCATTCCCATTTTGCGCATAAATCCTTCCTCATGAATATCACAACCACCCATCTGAATGTGGCCTCATCTAATCCGCGCGTCCACGGTTTCATTTCCTTTTCTTCATATGACATCTATTTTCTTCAAGAGCCGTGGTGGGGACAGATCAGTATCGATACCCCCCACAGCTCTGAGTCTGGTACTACTATCTATGGTCATGTCAATGTCCAGCCCTATGGCCTGGATGCCTTTCACTTTCATTCCACCGCCACCTTGCTGAGGCCTCGAGCCAGTATCCTGGTTCGGCGAACGCTTTTAACCACTTATCACGTCTCCATGCGTACTGACCTGGTGTCAGACCCAGACATAGTGGTGGTCCACTTTGTATCTCGCACTGATCCCTCGCTCACTTTCTTCGCCATCAATTGCTATGACGAGGGCTCACGGGCTCAACATCGCATTCTGCCTCTCCTTTACAATATTCCCTTTCCACCTAAGACGAATCTCCTCGTCACTGGTAACTTTAACCTCCACCATCCCCTATGGTCTTGGACTGGTCGCACATTGTGACTGGCCTCCTCTGCCTCCACTGCTTTCACTGGATGGTTTGAGCGTGAATCGCTTGAGATTCTTAATGACCTCGATCAGCCCACCCACATGGTTGATGATAACCTGCTCTCGGGCACCATTATCGACCTGGTCTGCACGACCTCCAGTGCGCATTTTCATGTCCACGTGTCGCTACTCCCACTCCTTTCGAGTCCGATCATGCATTGCTAACCTCTATTCTGTCACACACCACTCACCCTGTTGACATTGACCTAGGCTTCCACATCGACATGTCAAAACGCAATGACTGGGAGACTTGCCTCACCCATGAGCTGGCCCTCTCACCACTGCCATCAGCATATTCCAACACCGACGACCTGAAGGCAGGTGCACATGCCCTAATGCGGGCCATGACTGTTGCCAGCCATGAAGTCTTCCCTCGCCGTACACACGCTCACCAGGCCTCACAGCTCTGGTGGAATGATGTGTGCGACACTGCACATGCCTGCATTCAGAATGCTCACACCTGAGAGGGGCGCTGTGCTGCCAAACATGTGCTTTCCGATGTCATCCGGCAAGCCCAGAAAGACTGGACTTGAGAGGCAGTTACGTGACTCCAGCACACTAATTCCTGGCAGCTCACCTCCTGGACCAAAGAAGTGCGGGTGCCCCCACTACCCGTCATCCGAATGGCGTGGAAGTGGGCTCCCTCCCATCAGATGCGGGTCGTCTGCTCACTCAGTTTTACTTTCCTATGTCTCCACCTCTCCCTGATTTACCTCCCCTCTTTGTGCACGTACCCCCTCCGGCATGACTGGATCGCCCCCTACTGCGCTCTGAAGTGGCCACCACCATTGAGACCACGTCCAACTACTCTGCGCCCGAGGTATCTGGGATGTCTTGGTGCCTTCTGAAATGGGTTTAGCGATCTGGTGCACAGGACACTCTTTTTCATTTTCTCTCTGCTTCGTTACACATGGGATATCTCCCCACTCCACTGCGGGTGGCGGCGGTCATGTACCTACCCAAACTGGGCAAGGCAGACTATACCGCTTCCAAAGCCCACCACCCCATCGCACTCTTGGAGACCTTGAGTAAGGTCCTCGAGAAAGTGGTATCCGCCTGTTTCAATTTCCAAATAGGTGCACATAATCTTGTGTCCAGTTCTCAGTTTGGTGGGTGTGGCCAGCACTCAGTTGTGGATGCTGGTGTCACCCTCATGCATCGCATTCACACTGCCTGAGAGAACGGCTTCTCTGCCACTCTTTTATGCATGGATGTCGAGGGCTACTACAATAGCATTCGCCATGATGTCCTTCATTCCGCTTTGCTTTCTATGGGCTTTCCTGACAATGAGGTCTGTTGGACCATGTTGTTTCTTTCTTCTTGCACGGTGCAGCCCAAGCTCAACTCCGAGCTGGGACCTTCCTACCCAGTTGCTGTGCTAGGCATCCCGCAGGGCTCGCCCCTGTCACCTGTTCTCTCTACCATCTACTCTTCCCTGCTTTATGCAGATCTTGACCCCTTCGTGCACCCCCAACAATCCACCGCTGGATACGTGGATGACTTTGTGCTCCTTATCATCTCCCCTTCCCTAAATGAGAATGTGGCTATCATCCAGCACATGCTACCGTGCATGGGCACCACTCTGCATCGACTCGGGCTCACCATTGGCATGGCCAAAATTGAGCTCATGCATTTTACCTCTCCCAGACGCTCTCTAGACGTCAACCCTCCCTGCAGGTACAGTGGGAGGGGTGTATCGTCACCCTTCAGCCTGCTTCCTATCTACGCTGGCTCGGCATCTGGTATGACCATCACCTTACCTTTACCCACCATATCCGGGTCATGGCATCCAGGGCCTTGTCGCGAGTTGCCGCATTCTGCATGCTTGCTAACACCCAGCATGGTATGACGGTCGCGCAAGCCTGTTTGCTTTACCTCACCACTGTCCTCCTCATCCTCACATTTGGTAGTCCCATGTGGTACGACCCACGTGAGCCCCGCTCACTCTTTAAACCCCTGCAGCAGGTACAAACTGATGCACTACGATGGTTCATGGAAGCATGGCGGTCCACCCCTCACCATGTTCTCAACCTCATCTCGAGCATCTTACCAATGCGGCAGCAGCTCGATAAGCTCAACGGCCTCACCGCTGCCTGCCTCATCACCCTTCTGGCATTGCACCCCGTGGCCCTCTGTCTGGCTGCCAACTGCACCACCCATCCACCCAACTTCTCCCTCCTCAATCCCACTGTCTCCATTCACTACGACACTAGCACGGTGGACGTGCTCGAATGGACCCTTCCCAATTGAGCGACGTGCCTCAATCCCTGGATGCAGCCACCTTGGGAACCTGCACACCCATGGGGTGGGTGGGTTCAGGTGTGTGTACTGCCACCTACCAAAGACAGCTCCACGGATTACCTACACTCTTTCTTTTTTCCCCTCTTGCACTCCTCAGTCCCCCGCTCCGATGCCCTGTGGGTCTTCATCGATGGTTCCCAAATAGCCTAACCTGACCCGACACCGAGGAACCACAGAGCAGGTGCAGGTGCATGCATTATTCATCAGGGTGCAGTCAAGTACGAGTGGGCTTGGGGCATGGGTCACCAAGCGGAAGTCTATGATGCAGAACTCTATGTGATGACAGCAGTTGCCAGCTGCTTGGCCGGTTTTCTGGTGACCTACCCCATGATCACTCATATCTATCTATGCGTGGACAACCGTGCTGCCCTGTCCAATATCCTCTCGCTGCGCCCACACAGTGGCCAGCCTTTTTCAGCTCGCTTTCGGGCTATTCTGGCTCCTCTCATGGAGTGCCACCCTCTTTTGAATCTTTCCTTGCTATGGGTACCTGGGCATAAGGGTGTACTGGGTAACGAAGTGGCGGATCGGCTAGCTAAGGCAGGCACGTCCCTACCCGATAGTGTCCTACCCACCCTAACGTGGATCTGGCACTGGGCACATGAGCAAGCGACCACCTCCTGGCAAACCGAGTTCCGTTACACTGATCAACCCACTGCAATATGGGCCTCGTGGCCCTCCTTGCCCTCCCAGATGCTACATCCCGTTTTTACTTTTAAATATCATGAACGCGACATTGAAGCCAGATTTACCCAAGCCTTAACTGGCTACGGTTATCTGGCCCCCTATTTTTCCTCCCAGTTTGGGACAGTGGGCCCCGCTTGTCACTTCCATGGCACACCCTGTGTCTGCGATTTAACCACCCCCAGCACTCGCACCCATGTCCTGCTGCGTTGCCCACGGCATGTGCATGCACGGCACCTGCTCTTCTGCAACCCCAAACCCACCCTCCTGGACCTGCATCGGTGGTGGCATCACCCAACCAGCCTCCAGCACCTCATCTTCTTTATTTCTACTACCTCCGCCTTTTTCGCCACGGTCCTCGTACCCCCAGATCCAGGGTGATAAACCTTTTCTTCCCAGTACCTAGTGCCCCACTCCCTTTGTTTACTCATAGTCTGCATGACAAAACTTCCTCGTGTAGTCCACTTTTGTATTTACTTCCATCCAACCGCACATAGCGCAGTATACAAATAAATGTACAAAAAAAAAATATGATAGAGTCCGACCGTGGCATTAGTCAATAAATAACGGACTGAGAAGATGTACATACCTCGGTAGTTTACTACATCTAAATGACTCTAACGAGGTCCCTGGACAATGGACTCGTCTTTGCTGTGCTTAGACCGGGAAACTCCTGTTGAGTTTCCCAGCCAGCCCGCTGCATGGCTGGGAGTTCGGGAGTCGCCCGCTCTCTAGAAGATGGCTCCACGGGGCCAAACCGATGGCCCGTCCCATTGTAGCTGCACCCTATTATATACACGCATGCTACTACTCTCCCACACCAGTGGCGCAGGTCACACCGGGGCCTCTCGCCTCTGCGCTCCGTGCCCAGATTCCAACAACTCCGAGATCTTGTATCACTGCAGCAGCGCCCCGCGGTCAACCCTCTGGCCCTCACCCTCCTGCCCTCGACCTCCTGATCCCACCTCTGCCTGGTCGCACTGTCCCTCAGCTGCCCTGCAGCCTTCACACCTCGGCGACCTGCCCCAGCTCCCAGCCTTTGACCTGCCAACTGGATTACTCACCAGCCAGCATCCTGGTCCCCCAGCAGGAGCCTCGTAGTTGGTGGTTTCACATTGATTGCGGTGAGTGCCCTTTGGTCAATGGTCATCGGTTTGTGTTGACTTTCCTGGCCAGCCCGCTGTGCGGCCAGGAGTTCGGGAGTCGCCTGCTCCACGGGGCCAGTCCCATTGTAGCCGCGCCCTATTATATACACGCGCGCTACTACTCTCCCACGCCGGTGGCGCAGGTCGCACCGGGGCCTCTCGCATCCATGCTCCGCACCCAGATTCCAACATTTGGCAGTTATCAGCACCCGCCAGACTCAGCCGCTGGATCTTGCCAACGTTGATCGATGCTGATCTTTCTATTGACTAAGCAAACGCAATTTATCA